AAGCTTTCTAGTTTTACCCTCACGTCCAATATTGTCTGATTTGGTTCAAAACTACCTTAAACCTGCTTAGGATCACCATAAGTGAGAAATGACTTGAAGGCACACAACAACAACAACGAAGGTGGAAGAAAGTAGGAAAAGAGGAAGACCACATTACAGATGGATGGACTTGACTAAGAAAGCCATGGCTGGCCTGAGCTTGCAAGACCTGATCCGGACCATTGATAAAAGAGGTCTTGGAGAGGACCTTCATCTCCTTCATCAGGTCACCATAAGTTGACTCGATCAATGTCCATGAACAACAACAGACATGGGCCGCCATTGTATGTAGACTATGGGCCGCCATCTTGGTTTTGGAAACAGCAGCCAGTGACATGGGGGATGAATTCAGAAAAGAGACTCAAACTCCCCATGGCCACTTTGGATGTGGGATTATTTGGGAGACATAACTCCCCCAAAGTGACTCTTTTCAGGATCTGGATAGGATGGGGCACCCATAAGTAGGACCAGACTGGGACTGTTGGAAAGATCTATCAACTTGAGCCCCAATGGTAGATCTTTCTGAGCATCTTTCTGAGCAACAAAGCCCCAATGAGACCTTGCCTGGAGGAAGGGCTTTTCGGTCCAAGGCCAGGCAGGGCAAAGCTTCCAGCTGCAGGTATTAAAACATTTCATTATCTCTTCCCCAAGAACACATACTCAGGGCGCAGAGGATTTGCTGTTTCATTTCCAGCATTATTAAAGCAAGGAGGCTGTATGGAAGACATAATTAAAAGTCTTGTTTCGTACAAAGGTTTTAAAGCTTCCTTCCAACCCCCTTTAAAAAAGAAGGGGGAAAAAAAACATGTAGGAAGATAAAAGGAACACAATATTAAGTTTTTGGATTGGCAAAAAGGAAAGATTTCTGAAAAAGGCAAAGGTAGCCAGATAGAGCCATAGTTCTCTTGGTTATACATAGATATTTTCCTTGGTTTCATGGTCATGCCTGGCCCAAAGAGGAGCTCAAGGATTTGAAGCATCCAGCTTGCTTCATAGGCTACATCTGCACTACAGAAATAGTCCATTTTGATACCACTTTCCTCAACCAGGGACCGGACATGTTCAAGTCTAAGTCCTATCACAACTGGAGAATGAGGCATTGCTTGTACCCTCTAAGGCTGCATCTGCACTGCAGAAATAATCCGCTTTGACACCACTTTAACTGCCATGGCTCAATGCTAGGGAGTTCTAGAGATTTCTCTCCCAGAGAGCTCGGGTGCCACAACAAACTATGGGGGGTTGCAGACTGTCAAAAATAGTGTGAATTCAGTCCACTTTTAGGGTTAGGGTTAAGGTTAGGGAATCATGGGAACTGAATTTTATTGTGGCACTAGAGTTCTCTGACAAAGAAGGTTCAATGTCTCAGAAAAATAACAATTCCCATGATTCCCTAGCACTAACCCTAACCCTAAAAGTGGACTGAATTCATACTATTTTTGACAGTCTGCAACCCCCCTAAACCTCCCAGGAGTCCATAGCATTGAGCCATGGCAGTTAAAGTGGTGTCAAACTGGACTATTTCTGCAGTGCAGATGCGCCCCAAAAGGGTACAAGCAATGCCTTGTTCTCCAGTTGTGATAGGACCTAGACTTGAACATAGCATATGGCATTGAAATAGCTTGGAGCCGAGTCTTTCGGGGCAGGAGGAGAAAGCTATATGAGATGATGGGATGGCTTTAGATCCACAGCTTTGAAAAGTTATTTTTTCTGGACCATAACTCTCCATTTCCCTCCCCTGAGCATGATGAAAGGACCATGTTTTTTGGTAGATTCTGGGTGATGTAGTCCTTAGGAGCACCTTTTCCAAGCTCTGTTTAGATGGCATTTGCATTACACATTTACTCCAGTTTGATAGCACTTTAACTATCATGGCTCCAGTCCACAGAGCCTTCTCAATGGCTATTCCCAACCTCTGTAACTCTCTTCCAAGAAAAACCTTTTTGTTGAAGGTTGTATCCACACTGCAGAATTAAATCAGTTTGAAACTGCTTTAACTGCCATGACCTTACCCTTCAGAATCCTGGGATTTATAGTTTGATGAGGTATTCAGCCTTGTCTGTCAGAGATCTCTGGGGTTTCACCAAAAATACGAACCCCAGGATTTTGTAGGAGAGAGTGATGGCAGGTAAAGTGGGGCTAAACTGCTTTAAATCTGCAGTGTGGAGACACTTTTAAAGGTTATGCAGGAAAGGGTCTTATTTGGATGTGTGGTTTATTTGCCTTTAACTTTTGCATGGTTTTTTAAATGACTTTACATTAGTTAATATGGGGAATTATTATTATTATTATTATTATTATTATTATTATTATTATTATTATTATTATTACAAATGTTTTTAATTTACTATTTCTGGGTCCCACTTGGGAAGAAAGGTGATGCATATATAAGCAAATAAATATCCTGATCTAGCCCCTCCAAAAACATTTGTGGAACCACCCATGAGGATTCTGGAATTAGGAAAGGAAATTCATCCCAATTAGCACTTTTCAATTAAAA